ATAATAACAAATAAATTAGATCTTTAATTTTTATAAAGTAATTTAAAAATAATTCATTATTTCGAATTCGGAGGAGACAAATGTATGAACATAACAGGTTTTCTTACTATAAACTGTCAGTGTAAAGAATTACAGTATTCTATTCTCTTTGTGAGATTGACCTATCTAATTTCCAAGGTAATAGATGTGTATTTTATTTCTGAATTTCTAAAATAGGTTTATCATATGAATTTAAATTTTTTTCTTTACTTTTATTTTCAAATCCATAAGCTAAAATAAGTTTTAATGAGTTACAAAGATTTATTAACCAGGGAAAATGGGGTTAGCCTTTTATTTACTTGTTAAGTACTTAGTCTCAGTTTATGACTATATTAAAATATATATATATATATATATTCACGTTTTGATACTTAGGAATATTTCTATGCTTTTTCTTGTTTAATTTATAAAACACACTAAACATAATCTAAATTTAAATAAATTTATAGGTGTTTTTGAAGTTCTGGAAAGGAGGAGATGATCGTCTGGCAATGGTGAAAGATGTGCATGGGCACAAAAGGCTGAAAACCACTGTGTTAGAATAAAGCTAATAATAACTGTCTTCCTGAAATTTAAGCCAATTTAATTTAGTTAATCTTACCACTTTATATATTAAATATTTTTTATATTAAATATTTTCAATTAATATAAATTCAACTACAGACTGTTCTTTTTGACACGAAAATATTCTGTTGGGGATATTTTTTCCCTCCCCCGTCAGAATGAATTATAACTTTTTTGTTACTAATAGATGCAAGAATACACACTGTCAAAAATTTTGTTAGAATCTACGTACAATGTATATTAATGCCATACAACAACATGACTAGAGGCATCCACAGAACATATGTAAAATGAGAAATATCTGCAAAATTTCTGAAGATATTACCGCTCTGACAATGACAAATATTTACCATTTAAACGATTTTTAATGTGTTTTAACTGCTGAAGGTCCTTGAAATGAGCCATTCATTACCTTTCCGAAACAAGAGCGAAATGTATATTTTCACATATAACCGTTTAAAGCACGCATCATGAATAGAATAATTCCGGAAACTTTTTGAAATTACGACAAGTGTGTGGGTGTAAACGTATTTCGGGGGAATATGATCAGCATCAACAGGCAAGAGCTTTTTCCTCCATTATCTGGTTCTGCACTTTACAAAACATATACGTTCTGCCGAGTTATATCCCTTTTTTGATTCTGACTATGGACGTAAGACAAAACATAAAATGTAAAAGTTAATTTAAAACTTACACCTGTGAGGAGTTTAACTTGAAGTAATATATGTAATTAAAGTCTTCTTGACACAACAGCTTGCTGACACAGTAGCTTGCCGAAAATTATAGTATTTTCACTGGATTACACTACCAATAAATCCATAAGAATCTAGAAACCTAACTGGTTAACTAATTTTAACACTTTACCGACCGCTAGCGGTTTAACACATACGCACGTCCGACCGGCCGTAACTGTCAGCCGCAGATTCTCCCTGTTCTGTATAACTGTCAGGACAATTTGATAAATCGTCTAAATAAAACTCTCCAGTACCATTTTTTTCGCTCATCGTGAACGGTAATTTGCTTTTAAAAACTGTGTGAAAACGTGGTAGTTTACGAAGCAAAGCACTTAACGCAAGTGAACAATGTGTACCTCAATAATAATAATAAAATGCAGATGATGTAGCAAATGGTAATTGTTTATCGCCATGGCTACCGATTGATAGGCTATTTTTAGATAGCCCCGAGGAAAAAGCGATTAATAGGCTATCGTTCGGTAAGCGTTGGCGAACAAAAGCCCATTTATAGGCTATCGGTCGGTAGGCGTTGGCGTTAAAACGCCGATTAATAGGCGATCGGTCGGTAAAGTGTTAATAAAGACATTAAAAGGTATTGGTTTATAAAGAAATTTTTAAGTATCAGTTAATGAAGAAGGAACTAATAGTTTAAAATAAAATTATTAATTGAGATCTGAAATAAAGGCTTCAAATTGTTTCGACAACTGAAATAATAGTGATTTCTGGTAGTCAAACACATAATAGAAATCTCCCTGAATATAGAATCTCATCTATAGTGTCCCAAAATGAAAAATATTCATCAAATGGAGTTAAAAAGTCGTCAAATGTAGTGAGTGAGCGCAACGGCCGAAAATAAGTAATAAATCTACAATAAGCATAAAGTAAAAAATGAATAGTTCAGTAGTTACCAGGCAGTGAAGATCAGTAAGAAGATAATTCTTTCTATTAATGAATATTTATGAAGAATTTATGAAAACATATCCGCTCGAGACAGAGAGTTAACATTCGCATCTTGTGATAACTAATATACAACGTCTCGTATATACAAAGCGTGTCATACATTTTCTCCGTTTATTGTTCATAGTTATATTTTGCTTATCTTCAGCTGTATAATGCATTGCTACAGTGTAGAGGCCTTATATTTTGGAATATTCTATATATTGAACTCCCTTTTACATCAGCTTATCGCCAATGTTAACGTCTCGCAACTCATAATGCGTTTCCTATCTAGATGTTAATGGCATAATTTAGCGACTTTATTCTGGTACACCCTGCATGATGAACTGTCTTTTAGGCTATACAGCCGCACGAGAAGCTGCACAGAAATACTGGAAACTTCATGTAAGAGAGGTAATAAATCACATTACATAAAATTTTTTTTAAAAAATGAAGTAAAAGGTTTGATCTAAACCGAATTTCATCCTGTTTATTTCCTTAATTTTTTTCTCTTGCTTCCGTTCGTCCTTTATCGCGAAATGTAAATTAGACGCAGAGTATTTATGAAAGAAGAAAGAGCCAATGAATACAGTATTAATAAAAAAAAAAATCTGAAGGCTTTTAGATTTTATATTAAGCCCGAAGGGGCGTTTTTCAATGTTTCGTGTGTTACCTTTACTTATTAAATACTATGTTCTTCGCCCTTAAACCACAAAATTTATATCAACAGCAATATCACAAAATATTTAAAAGACCATATCTTTAGAATTTCTGACACAAAGTAAGAACGTAAAGAACGCAAGAACGAAAAGTAAGAACTAAAAAATTAGACAAGTAATTTCGTTTACGAAGACCGAGGTTACAATCAGAACATTACAAATTAAAACTAGTCATGAATAAACTACTGCTACTAAAACTGGTAACTATCGCAATATCATTTCTTTAAAAGAAACTTACAGTGCACTAAGAATGCATAGTAATATTAACATTACAATATATGACGGTAAGCGACCCGGATACGTCGTGCAAAACTACCTTTTAAACCCTCAAGTGCACCTCACATGAATGAGTCTTGACCGCAATTCCGAAATGGGACCCAGAGAAACGAAGAAGGGGGTGAGAAAAATACTACAGTTTCTAAAGATCGAACGCATCAGCAACAGATAGAGACAACGATTAGAAACGTTAATAACAGGAGCAATGTGAAACCACATATCGGGAAAGTTTCTTAGTGTGAGAATACCTCCACGTCTAAATATCTTTATGAAGAATCTACACAAAATCTAATAACAAAAGTTTCTAATAAGAAATGCAAGAGAAAATGAAATAAATGAAATATACAAAAAATGCAACTATAAATATAATACATTAAATAAAAGTAAAAATAGCCAAGGAAATACATTTTACAAATAAACTATCCCCAGGAGGAGGAACTATATACATTAGAAGAAGGAGAAAATTTGCGAATATTTTTTTAATCTTCAGAACGTAGCTAAAAAGAAATATGCAAGAAAATACGGTATATAACGACCAACGGTTTGAAAAATAAAGACCGAGTAAAGACTTCTGTAGCTATAACGTATAGGAGCAGATTTTATTCTATTAACAAAGTATGTATGGTTTAAGGCTTATGTTTCCATTTTCATTTTAATTGGCTAAGAAATACCATTTAATCTAGCACTTTTTTGCTCGACGCATTTTCTAGTTTGGTAAATGCGTTTAGCCTTTTATGATTTATACTGAATAAAATGTTATTCGGATGTACATTTATTTCGATCTCTTAACATATTAAGTTACGCATGGAAGAAGATGCCATGTAGAGTGAGCAATTTAACAAATCAAACTGAGAAATAATAAAATAAAAATTTCAAAAAAGACTAGAGTAACTTTGAAATTTTCCTTTCATTTTTTATACGTTAGTATTCACTAATTTGGTTTTATAAGCTTTTCACCCGTTCGTAAGAATAAGCATGTTTAATATTTGATAGTACTCTGGAAGATTGATATACCAGGCGGTTTAACAAATTTATCACAACTGAATAGGCACGTTCTCTTATTCAACACTTCGCCAAAAATCCCAGCGAGTTTTTCAGATATTTTAGTGTTTTCTTATTTTGGTAGTCAACTATTTTAATGCTTCTTCTATGCAAATAATTAATATTCTTTAAACAACAGTATTTTTTTTTTACTTTTTTCTTTCAAAGTAATTAAAAGGAATAGCAGATTTGGTATTCGTGAAAATGTATTAAAATTACTAATAAAAAAACTATGTGTACTGAAATCAATCCATTAAATAACTTGTAATTGGGTGAGACTTACTCCATATTTTGTGATTGGTTAGGCCCACCAGCGGCCGAGCGGTAAAGACGCTGAACACTGGTAGTTCGGTCCGAGGTTCGAATCCCGCGAACGGGCTGGCTGCATGGGCGTTTTCGTGGTTTTCCCCATGTGTAACGTGTATACGAGCCAGTTTCCCTTAGAAAGTCCTCCACGAAAGGCATCCCTCCCCTCAGGCAGATAGCCCTAGCGTGCTTTGCCATAATTAAACACACACACACTGTGATTGGTTAATCCTGAAACTTTCGTTTCTGTAACCGTTTTATGCGTAAGATTTAATCATATCTCGCTAGAACGCAGAGACAATAAAAAAAGTTGTAAAAAAGGAACTGTAATTACTGTTTTCTTTAAATACTTTTGCATGAATATAATTTTTTCTCTTGTTCGTAGTACCCCCGTCCTTAACAGAAGAAGAAACCAGTACAGACACTGTCGTCGAAGAGCGGTCGAAAGTAAGCCTGAGGTGTGGCGCTTCTGGTTATCCATCACCACAGATATCATGGAGGAGGGAAAATGGAAAAGACATAAATCTGGGACCTGTCGGAAATACCAAAAATATAGGTAATATTTCAATAAAAGTCAAATTACAACTTACATTTTAAGTTTCTCTTCTGACCAACTTAACCAGCATTGCCTTTTGATTTTAATAGAACCTCATTTATAATGATATTAATGCCAGTGGGAAAAATGTTGAAGATCTGAAATTGATAAAAAACTAAAAATCTTTAAGGTGCAAATTTTAACGGTTGTCCATAAGGGTTTGTTAAGATTGTTTACGCTCTTTCTTAGCGAGCACTTTATCGGTCTGCTGTTGCACTCGCTCCTGATAACCCCTATATTTTTCATTTTTAGTTTTATTATTAAGCATCATTTTCTTCACACATACAAAATATATAATTCAACGACAAAGTTGCCAAAATTTTAAAAGCAGCGTATGTTAAGTGTTGGCATCCCTTTTAAGTCTTTTCTCAATTTGTCAATTTTTCTTAGTAAGATAGCTAACCATTTTTTTTTTCTTTTTATTATTAACTGCATATGCGTTAATTTTATTTATCAAATATCACACTCTTCGCACTTTTGCCACATAAAATTCAATTCAATAGGAAATTGGTAAATATTTAAAAACAGCGTATCCTTAGATTTCCGATATACAGTCTCTTGTGCTGGATCTATAAAAGTTTTATTCCGAACAGTGTTGCCACTTCTCGCTTTCAAATCGTTGAATTTGTTAATCAAAAATTCGTTGAAGTTTTTCAAAATACGAAATACAAAATTCGGGCATCCAGGTGCTCATATTCGGGTGGAGGTCTACGATATTCATTATCTGATAGCCCTAGGTACCGTCGTTTTTTACACAGCTAGGAACATACATATATATACATGCAGATTCTTCGTTATTTAATTTCTTTAAAAATAAAACAGGGCAATAATATTTGGCGGCAAGAATAAGAAATGTGTAAAGGCGTTTACAGTGGATGACGTAAATTCCCGTTTCGAGACTAAAAGCCCATTCGGACTAACGCCATTTCGGGCTAATAAAGAATTTTGTTCTTCATTAAAATCGACGTTCATCTGAAATGTTGCTAAAACAGATTTCATATTATGATTCCTGAGTTACTTTATTTCCTTATTTTAAATTACTTAAAAATCTTACCAGTGTTATTTATTCTTTTACATGATTCTATTATACTTTCCATTACATGATATTGCATATTTTTCTGTTCTGCTAAAATCAGAAATGAAAATAATTTCAAAACATGAAATTAAGTAAAACAACATTTTCTATATGATATTTTTAAAAATATATCACTTCATGTATAATTTTAAGACTACATAAAATTTATGTTAACTTTTATAACGTATTATCGGAATCACCAGCCATACACCGTTTTCGCAATGTAGGTGTGACTAGTAAAATTAAGAAGGTAATAATAATATGTCTCTAGATTGGTAGCATAATAAATGACTAGAAGAAAGATACTGATAAAACACCTTTATTCCATTCTGGTAGCATTAATAGCATTCGTCATTCAGTTTTGAATAAGTCATAATTGCATACTCTAAGAAATATAATACATCTTTAAGGAAGTAAAATATTGGTTTTAAAAAGCTTTATAAGGATAGATAAAGCTATCAACTTGATAACTTGACAAGGTTTCCCTAAATAAGGCTGAACATCTGTATGTTTTGGAACTAAGACGTTGAAGTACTGAGTTAAACTTTCTGAGAAGTCTCTCTGAGCACTGATAATACAAATGGCGCATATCTTGTAAGAAACATAAAAAGGAAGCTCAGTTGAAGTTGAAAAGGCTTTCACGATAGAATTGATCACCAAATTCAAATTTATCTATGGCAAATTCTTTGGGGTTTTCTTTGACTGTCCTCAACTTCTCCTACTGCTCTTCCTTCTTCAAACATTCTTCTTCCACTCCCATCAGGCAAGAATTGGCAGCTCGTAATGCAAAAGATTCTAGGGTTGTTACACCTGTTGAATTTAAGTCGGTTATGAAGCATTTAAAAATGTTGAATTTTTTGCAAAGGAAAATTGCACATTTGGTCAAACTTTTCGCCCTGGTTATAATGAGGAAGTCCTATTGATGGAGGAGAGTGACTTTCCGATATAAAAACGCTGAATTTGGCAGCTGCTATCAGTTTCCTCTTCGCGACACATTAATGAGGTAAATGTTCATACTGTATTTCTCCTTGACACTTTCAAAAACGCGGCCGAAGTCCATGCAAAATGCATTATCACTTGGTTGAAATTGGATGCTTGGTTTTCTGCTGTTGGAAAGCCGAGAGCATAACATAGTGCTTAGTCGTTCGTTACAATCTCGACATTTTTCTGTTATGTACCATCTGCCTGCAGCTTCATGTAAGAATCACTGAATGTGCTGGCATTTGTCAATCAATCATTTCAATGTGCAGGCGTTTGTCTTCCCCAACTGCTACATTTTAAAGTGTATTGGGGCTAACGCATTCATTAGATAGTAGAAACAGCAATGCATTAAATATTTATTTTCGTAGGCCATTAATCATTTTCATCCAATATGAATCTCATTTCATGCTTGCCGACTACCTTTTTTTTTTCGCTAAAACATTCTAGCAGACTGCCTTTGTGTATTTTATTGCTTAGCTACTAAGATATTCGATACTGACCATTCACTGCACTTTTTGAGGAATAATTTAAATTTGAATTTGACAGATTTTATTTATTTATTTTTATTCTTATTTTTGGTCTTTAATTCACGGCTGGACCAATGCCCCATGGCCAGATCTGTAGTGAACTTTCTGTATGACTGCCGTTTTTCAACTCTTGAAATGAAGATTACGCTAATTAGGTTGTGATTGTAGAAGAAAATGAAAGGTCTGTAAACAAATTGCAAAATAGAGATCTTAATATTAATAACGAGATTTCAGATAAACAAAAACATTCGACTCATACTTGTGTGAAGTGTGTGTTCAATAACACTCACTTCACACAAGTTGTTTAATTTGTGTGAAAAAATTGTGGAACAAATCATACTTTAACCCGCTCATTTGCTTGACAGCGGTACTTGTTTTTGCTGTATATTCTGACACAAAAATCATTTTTTTGCAAAATTGGGACTCGTACATAAAATTATTTATAATCGTTTGATCACTTGTTAGGTATATTTTGACCAAAGTTAATATAAAAAATTAAGATGATTTGTAAATAACATATTTTTAAATGAGGAAAATGAAAGCCGTAAAAATATTCATTTGAATATCCCAGAGTAATGTAATGTACCAGGGCACTGAAAGAAGAACTTCTTTTGATATCCGTTTCACCCACCGGATTGATATGGAAACAGATTTTGACTCATCTGTTGAGCATATAATTGTGCCACCTACATTAATTGCATATTGATTGGCATCTTCAGTTTTCGCTTATTTTCAAGATTAAAAAGAATCCTCCAATCAGTTGAACATTCGCAAATTTATTCTTCTGATGCATTTTTCGTACTAGATACAGATCAGAAACTTTTTAAATCGAATTTCGCTGAAAACTTTAAAAATTCTAAATAAGGTGTTTCCGTAATAACGAAATCTAGAATTTCTCAAGCAAAACAGCTTCCGCGACAAAAAAATCTAAAACTGACCAGTTTCGCTACTCTCCATTCCCAGCTGTCTGGAGTCCAGTTTCTATTGAAAAGGACAACAGGAGTCGGGAATCCTTCGGGAATTTCTAAAAAATTCGCGACCAGCACCTATTGTGTTATCCACGGGACATGTTATTATGTAAATGTTATTTTTCAGCTGTGTTGTTATGTGAGCGACCGGAGCTGTGGAAAAATTTGATCACGTCTTTTAGCTTTGAATTTGTAGCTGACATATCATTCCGTAACTCGAAGTCGTTTCACGAAAAAATACTTTAATGTAGGCAGAAAATGCAAAGAATTAAATAAATTTCAAGCTGCAGGGATTTTCTTAAAAAAAAAAATTGTTTATATATACTCCTACCGATTTTCATAGTCTGGGCTTCATAAGTACAGCGATCTTTAGTGGCCTCCAAATTCACACTTTCGTCATTTATATGAGGAAAAATCACGATTGTGAGTAAGTGATTTGTAACATGATTATGATTGAATCTGATTGAGTTATTACAACTATTAAGTGATTTGTAAGGGCACTAATATCTAGAATCCTAGACCGGGGTCTTGTAAGTCTAGGCTGTAATCAGATCTGTAGTTCACATCTAAACTATTAAGAAAATGAGGTATTATCTTTTCATAGCTAAACTACTATTTGATTTAAGTATGAAAAGATAGTTTATGATTTCATATCTAAATGACTATCTAATCTACAATCTTTGAAGGCAAATATACAATTCAATAATTAGTGCTATAGATTAATATATAGTTTTTGTTTTCGTTGAACTGAATGGTGCATGACCTAGTGCAAATAACCATATTATCTTAACCTGCATGAAAAGAATGAAGAGAAAATATTGACTAATTTTCAGCAAATTTATCTTAATGTAAATGTTGTGATAAAATGAAATAAATTTTTTGTTAAAATTATTCTGATGGTGTGATGATTTTTTTTCCTTTATGAAAATAAAATATTATATTTAAAGATTATTTCTGAATGAATAACTAAACAGTTTTTTTTCCTTCTCTCTTTTAAAATAAATAATTAAACAATTTTTACTATTAATAAAGTTAATATAATTTTCATATTTCTTTATCTGGTAGGAGAAAGTCAACATCCAATTTTTAAGTTATTAAAGAAAAATCTGTTTTAAATTTTAAACTTTAGAAAATATTTTCTTAATATTTATTTATTTCCTTAAGTGTGAAAAAATAGAAACTTTTATATTAATGCACATCACATTAATAGTATAATAATATAAAAGTTTTTATTATTTTTTGAAGCAAATATCACATTGATGTTTTAAATGTACTTAAATTTAAGTAAAAAAGGAGAAAAACATAGCCCCATTTTCCTCCAATAAAAGTCATGATTTAGATAGAAATAGTAGAATTTTTTTTTAAATTCAGTCGTTTAGAATAATGATGTTTTCTATAGCGACTTACAGAATTACATAAAGTAATAATCTTCTGCACTGCAACGCTTCGTCTCTTTTGCAGAAAGTATGGATATATCAAGCATAGCTGGAATAACTCGTGGATCAGATTTATAATGAATGAGACACTCATTATAGAATAAAATTTTTAAAACTCTAAGGTAATTAAAGAAATTTCTGCAGCTAAATGAGCAAATATCAGTATTCGCAATTTCTGATTAATAGAATTTATTCCTTTTATAAAGTGTCCAGCGATATTGCTGCTATTCGAAACACTGTAATGATTACTCGACAGCGTACGAATAAACAAACTTGGAATAAAATGTGAAAGGGCAAGAAAACTTTGAATATGTGTTTTATTCTGCAGTCATTTCATAAGTTTCTGAATATTTCAGTTCAACGAGTAGAAGGAGAATTCCTCAACCTCACCCAAGTGACTCGTGAGGATATGGGGGCTTATCTCTGCATTGCCTCGAATGGAGTTCCCCCTTCTGTGAGCAAAAGGATACTGCTGCAGGTGAATTGTAAGTTGAGATATTTAGGGCACTTTTTGTGATGGACGGTAATGCAACTTTCGCCATTCTTTCTTAATGGGCCATAAATTCCAGCCACTCAAACAAAAATTGCATTTATGACGCTTACGAAATTACGGACTGCAGATCGAAAGTTGTTTGCTGTTATGTACTGCTTGAGAAAAATGTCCCTTTTGTTGCTTGGCTGGGATTTGTGATGGATATGCCAATAATTTTATTGTGTTTTACGACGAGTCTATTTTGTTCTTTGTTATGAGAGCACTAAACAATGAACTTCTCTGCTGCTATAAGTAATAAAAGTTATAAGAATGTCATTGTTGTAAATAAACTAAGTTCGATGTTTTATCACTTAACCATAGTACTTAACTATACTTTATAGCTTTGCCGTGCAATGAGTGTTATCCGAAATATAAGAAGCGCTTGAAAATTAACATTTAAGATGCAAATGAAACTTATTGGACTGTATATAAAATACTCTGACATATAAAACAACCCTGAATTTTGAAAATATTGTCAGGGAGGGGAGAAGTCTCTCACACAAGACGGCCTTACATATAAGAGCTTGGTATCTAAAAGGCGTACTTTAAGAACAACAATTAAATCGGCCATAAGTTGAGATAAATTTAAGTAACTATGAAAACATTTTAACATATATGATAGTAAATAAGTAAGTATTGTTCATAATATGCTTTTCAGCTATTAGAGTGTACATATAAACAAACATGATTTCCGGACGGTACTTTTAACGCTAAACTAGTCTTATATATAGGCCAATATGATAAATTGCATGAATCAAACTTGTGGTGTAGTGGTCAGCACACTGAGCCGTTATTTCAGAGGTCCGTGGTTCGATTCCCGGCGAAGGCGGTTGCTAATTTTTCATCTCTCCAGCCTAAAAAAATTTTTTTTAATGTCTGTACAATGTAATAAAAGAAATAATACCAAAAAATGAAACTGAAGAAAATTATCTTTGTATTTAATTATCCACTGCTATTCGGTATTTTCCAAGAGTATTTATGTCATATTAAAAAATCGTCCCATGCTAAGATAATTTTGCGAACCTTTCATATTTATTAAATATTAGATAAAAAAAAATGGAGTCCATATTCTTTTTTAAAGTTTTACTATTATTTTATTTTTAAAATTCAAATGTAAAACTTTAATCCAAGTATAATCAGATCTAAGTATTTTATCTTTTAAGTATATAATAATAATAAATAAAATTATAATTTCATAAAAATACTAGATTCTTTAAAATATTATACAGAAAGACATATTGAGTAAAATTAAACGCAACAGAATTGAAATAGATTATTTAATTATTGGAAAATACATAGATATTCCGGCCACTAAGAAACATTCCTACGTTACTCAGCAATGAGAGAGAATTTTATCACGTCAAATATCCCTTATGCTAGATCAGCAAACTTCTTGCTACTGAATACAAAATCGTATATTTTAAAACCCAAACAGTATTGATCACAGTCACAGGTATGTTACATCAGAGGTTCTCAAATTTGTTTAAACCTTTTTACTACATAAATAAGATAAAAAATATATGCTTCATCATGTGCCAATATATGAGGTGCCATTTAACGTTAAATTAAAAAAAAATCACTTAAATCTTTCCTGTAAATATTGCACCATTAACAGTAATGCAATGTACCATTAGTAGTCATAAAAGTTAATAGATATAATTGAAAAAGTTATTATTGAATAAGCGTAAACATGCTTATTATAATGTTCTTAGTATTTATTCTAGCGCGAGATTTATAATATTAATTTTTTTTTCTAAATGAATTTGCTGAGAATTAAAATTTAATATATTGTAGGATTCTCCATTGTGTATTTCTAAGTTATAGTTGAAAGTGAAGAACGCTAAGAACTAATACGCGAATAATCATTTGAGTTCGTGAGATAGAAAATAACAAGTAAGAAGTGTGAAATAACCCTTTATTATTCCAACTAAAGTTTAACAAAACTCCGTCTTGGAGTTGCACAATAAAGCCGACACTTGGCCTTGAACTTCAGAAACTAAGAATTAAATTAAACTAATCTTAACTAAAGAGATATAGCCAAAGCTATCAAAATTCTAACAGAGTTGGCCCCTTAACGCTAATTGATTGCGAAGCTATCAAGGGCCTAAAGTACGGCCGAGCGTAATAATAGCTTACGAGAGAATATCCTAAAAAGGTGGACGCGTGCAGCCAGAATATCTGATATCTCTCTCTTTAAGACTCAGCGTTGTATTAAGTACCTATTGTTAATGTATGTTAAAGTAGCACTTACCTAACGCTTGGGTATCCACTAATTACTGTGTACCTAATACACGTGTTTTAATATCTTTGTACATTGGTTAATGTACTTAGGAAACAGCACAAATAATTCAGTAGCAATACTCTGTACCACACAGTACTAATCTATGGTCTAACTTTAATTCACTGTACTAATTACTTATTCCAGCATAACATTGCGCACCTAATATTTCAGTATGTACATGTCTTCTGTAATCTAATCATAATGCTTCAAAGGATCATAGTTTTCTCAACATATGAGTACACACGTTATGTATATATGCTACCGTATCCATGCTTTTGCATACACCTCGTAACATGGCAATGTATTATCCAGTGTCTAACATTAATTAGCTTTAACGCCACTGTATTAACTACCAAATTTGTATGTATGTTTATGTGTTAGTATATTAGCACAATGAACACGTACGGTTATCTAGATAAAGGTGGACGTGGCGCTATACCGATTAACCGTATTGGTAGAGGAGTGGTGCCCACGTCCTCCTTAGCATGTCGCATGTACAACTTCGCGGTTAAATGCAACTTTTCCTCTTTAGCATTCAGACGTGATTCTAAAACTACATTCTGACCGGAAGTGTTAAGTTGAAATTAAGAATCGATAGGAAAGGAAGTTTAACTCAAAATTTAACTGTTAATAAAATTAACATAATCCTTTAAATATATAATTTTATATGCTGTACTGCTAATTATAACGCGAGAAGTAAGACTGGTCCCATATTTTTTTTTCTGCATTTATCTATGACAAGTGACTAAAATTATAAAGCTTTCTTTGTTACTCCAAAATTAGGTTCCGCGCAAATGGTCTAACTGCATGGTGTATTCGTGTTTTCCTGCATTTGTAACCCGAATTTCGAACAGGTGTTCTTTAGCAATTCCTCTACGTAAGCATCTTTCATTAAACAGAGAACCTCACATGTCTTGTACTGTATATATTGTTAACAAAAAATGGATGTAAAGTAATGATGAAATTTATGAAACAATTTAATATTTCATGCATTTTAACGCTTTAAATTAATACATAAATTTTATTTTTTCAGTCCAACCGAAGATCCGTGTAGCAAACCAAATGGTGAGGGCATCTGTGGGAACAGAAACAGTGCTTGGGTGTCACTTAGAGGCATCTCCCAGACCACTGACATCATGGATACGTCACGATGATGCAATTTTGATTAACAATAATAAATACGAAATGCACGAGATTGAAAACTCCTACAAAATACTTATGCAGCTGAAGATAAAAAATGTTACAGAGAATGATTTTGGACACTATAAATGTGTCGCCAAGAACACGTTTGGTGATAAAGAAGGATTTATTAGATTGATAGGTAACTAATAGTAATGCAAGAGATGTTGTTAATTTGTTAATGTTTGATTTTTATATTACTTATGCTATATTATTTCATTTATATTAACTGATGCTTGATTATGAATTATGATTAAATAAATGATGCAGAAGCTCATTCGGAAATTAAATGAATGATGCAAGAGCTGACTCGGGGATATCTGACTAATCACAGCCTTGATAACGCGTTATTTCATTTCATTACTCGTAAATCTGAGCACAGTATGGGTTCAAAAAAACTGATTTTCAATGCATTCTATATTAAGAATCCATAGACTTTCAACTAACCAAGATAAGCTTGATCATAATCATTTATCCAACAGATTCATCTCAACCACGATATGTACGGACTACTCTCAAAAGTGGATAGAAAACTATCTAGTTGGTCTGAGGTTTAATAGAATTAAAACAGAGCATAAAATCCGTTATTTCTTTAGCAAACTATGCAACATTGGCGTGAACCTGAAGTGGATTATTGGCTAGACATCTTCTATGTTTTTGAAAGGCCTGTCATCCGGGTTCCATTCTTAGAGAAAATAGTTGATGTCTGATGCTTATCCACATCTAACGTAAATAGGTGCTACTAGTTTCCTTTAAAAGGTCACCCAAATCGCACAAGTTTCATCTACCGTAATAACCAAAAGATATAATTTGCTTGGCAAGAAAATTCAAATATTTACAGAGAGTATACGAAGACACCTCTCCAGTAGAAGAACCACAGCTTCAATCACGTGAAACAACACAGGATATTAATAACTTTACAAATAGCCTCTTATTATGTATTTATTATGTATTATGTAATTTATGCATTCATTCAATAAATGGCTGCGATCAAGTAATGGGAAGACGGCGCTAAACCAATTAACCAAATGGTAAAGGTGTGGTGCCGTATTCCCAATTCCTATTCCTAATCCTAATCCTAAATCCTAATCCCACGATTGCAACCCTCACTTAAGCAAAAGGCCTTCCTGAATTTTTTTCATAATTGATTCAACAAGATATTTAAAAAAAGGTCCCTCCCCGATTACGTTTTGAAAGGTTTTACTTATTCGTAACGCTAAATAGTTGAAAACCCTGACAAAGGTGAAGCGAATTATCACTGCTTCCGAAATTAACTATAAAGTCTTATAAAAGTTTAAAATAAACTCTTTTGTTTAAACACAAACTTTGAACCTAAACGAACTTTCTCGAGGTAATAGAATCAACTACAACTCGTGGCGATGCAACTAAAGTAATAGTCAGTTTCAAATTTAAAATGTAGACTGATAGTCAAAGATGAAAATATAAACTAAGCTTGCTTAAAATCTTTAACCGATGTAACAAATTAAAATATCCTCAGCAATAACGCAAAGGCGAATAATTACAAGCTTATAAGAGCTGGTAGTCACTACGTAACGTGCCCCAAGAGGCAGAACACGCTCTGTCTTATAATTCAGAAACTTCATTTCCGCCCTCATTTACATTCTGATGGGGAAACGGAAAGGAGAAGTTATATTAAAGGCTGAAATTATAAAATAACTGGTTAGTTTAAATAATAATCTTAAACTGTGTTATGATATTATAAGATATTTCTCCTGCCTTCCTAGCGTGCCTTCGTGGTGAGTGAGTGAGTGAGCGCCACCAAGGAGGACCACTGACCTGGCCTTAGCCTCACAGTGTGTTATCTTTCTGGCAGAAACCATCTACTCTCTGCTCCATCCTGCTCCGAGAACGCAGCCGAATAGACGGCTAAGAGCCTCATAAAGTCTACATATAAGCTTGGATGTTGTTGTACGGGGAAAGAGTATCCTGTTAGGAACTACTTAAAATTAAGCAAAGTAGCAATCAAAAGACTGTTAAGAACCGCTGTTAGAATAGACAGAAACTTGTGTTAGATAAAGTAAAGATAGGAGGACTCTGCCGGAAAAATTAACTGCCGTGGATTTTCTGGACTTGCTAAATGTCTACGTGCAGGTGCTTATCCTGACACAACTGTCATATATTTATGAGGCTTTTGTGAAATCGTTGGAAAAATCGTTGGCAAGGAGGAAAGTTGTAACCTATTAAATTATTGCACATAGTAAACTTAAAAAAAATAAATAAAAAATAATAAAAAATTAATAAATAAAGAGAGAGATTAAAAGATAATTAAGAAAAAAATCCTAGCGCCCAAACATAATTTAACGCAGTTTACATTCCATATGCCTGACTCTTATGTAAGAACATTTAAAAGAATGTATACCTGTTATCACTAAGATAACAAATTCCTGCATAATTTAGTTCTTTGCGCATACTTAAACTGCAGTTGTTTTACAAATTGAACCATTCACCTACATTTTCTTTCGTAGTACTTGCAGACATGATAATACATACATAAGTACAAAACTGAATATTAAAGTGAAAAACTAACATGATACTGAGTACAGAAATACAGAAAGCTGATCCCTAATGCCTGCATACATAATACTTAAAAATGTATACATAATACATGAAAACTAAAAACAAAACTGATAAGCATAATACATAAAACTGATCATTAAGTAATGCTATGTAGTCTAAATCCTAGCCAAGTACGAACTGACCTTCATAGTACATTCAGAGAAGGAATAAATACAGACTTGAGTACTTTAAAGTGAACATAAACAGAAAAGTACAGCACCATACTCAGTAAAACTGATATCTGATTCCAAACAGTTGAATACATAATGCTGATACAAAGAGAAAGTTACCTACATTAATTCCATAGTTAGTTTATCACCTTAGAACATGCACATAATTTATACAAAACATAATTAAGCACGTAATGCTGATTACTAGGGAAGAGATTCAAACATGCAATTGATCACATAAATACAGATATTTCTTCCCTAAAATTTACATAAAACGTTGAATATTTATTAAAATTAAGAAGGCAAAAGGCGATTGCTAACTTTTTATCTCTTCGGCCTCCAAAAAAAAATCCTAATATCTCTACAATATTACTTTCGATTGCACATAGTGGCAATCTAAAATTTCAAATTTTTGCGTGAGTACGAGCAATTTTACCTTGAAAAAAATGATCGTCAAAATGTCTACAACAGTATACTTAGAAAGTTCAATTCAGTAATGGTAATATCATTAATAAATTTGAAAACTTTATTGCGGGATGCAAGAAAATACGTCAAACCAATATTGTCGATACTGTTGGTCTATATGTCTGCTATGAATAAAATTGTACATACTTTTGGTATATTGCCTAAATAAAATATAATATCTATACATCATTCCGAATATAAAATCAGGAAAATTACCAAGTCAACAGGACGAGAGCCCAGACCAGCACGAGTTTGACTTCATCCTACCTGGTCGCCTACAAGGGTACTCGTCGCTTTCGCCATGTGTAAAATGCGTACAAATTAGCTTGTCATAAAACGTTCTCCATGAAAGCATCCATTTTAAGCCAGATAGTCCTGGCGAGCTATGTTGTTGCTCATTATACGCAGTCTATAAGAACTATGAATACTTATTTAAACGACATACTATTTTTTTTTTTTTCTGTTTTAAAATTTGATGTATTGAATCAATAGAACATAAATTGTAATAAGTAATCTTATTAAATATTTTAGAAGGAAAAACAAATCTTCCATGTTCTTAGTTTTGAAATCAAATTGGAGGCTTTCGCAAATTTGTTTCAACATGTGCATATAAATATTATCCGTTCTCTTCAAAAATGCAAGACACTTAATGCACATGAAATATAAAGAAAACAACCTTTGCAGTCTGAATAACAATCTGAATAGTTTATTTATACAAAACTAGACAAATGTATATTAGCGTTTACATTTTATAAGAAAAGTATTATTTTAATAGTGCCTTTAGAATATCAATGTAATTGTTCAGATATTTGTATCATTTACTTTAGAAAAAATTCTAATTTTTTGTGTTTGACAATATCTGATGCACGCTACGAAATACATACAAATTACAAAATGCTTTCTCCTCTTAAAACAATTTTTCTGAAATCTATTTCATATATTTATGTAAATTTTTATATTAAAGATGGATGGGAATTCCGTATCTAGTAAACTACTTATAATGAAAGAAAATATTATTTGTTAGCCGTTGCCAAGAGAAAAAGAACATATAGTAAACAAACTATTTTGTTGTTTAGTTTCTTTTGGGTAAGTCATTTGAAAATGTTCGCTTAAACAACAACTATGCGTTAAATAAAGGCTTAAACCAGCAATATTTCTCAAGAATTAAACATAAAGGAATTATTGCTCAGTTTACAAGGGTTCACATTTTCCACATTGGTCACAATTTATAAAATTTCAAAATCTATTGAAACATAGTAGAATACCTATAAGCATATTCCAAAAATCAATTAGAGGTGACGTTAGCTATTCGTGCTTACACAGAAAAAGCTAATACTTCAAATACAAAAGCTTATGTATTTCGAATATGGCCCACAAACGGCTGAGCGGAAAAGTAGCTGAACACTGGTAGTTCGATCTGAGATTCGACTCTCGCGAACGAGATGGCTGCACGGCCGTTTTCCTAGTTTTATCCATGTGTAGTGTGTACACGAACCAATTTCCCTTAAAAAGGCCTCCAAGAAGGCTTCCCTACCTTCTGTGTAGGGCCTAAGGACGGAGCAAGAAAATAATAATTACACTTCAGATTTTTAATGTTTGAAGTATGCTTCTGTAGTTTTAGAAGTGTACTATACAATTCTTGAGTGTATGCATCAAATAAGGTAATAAACGAAAGAGTCTTTTTCAAGTTATTTTCGATTTTGAATTCTAGCATGAATAAAAAATTGCCGTGGCAAGAGATGCCACGGTGTATCTTAATATCATAAAACTAATTTTGTTAATTTTAATTTCCAACGACGTATATGAAATTCATTATTAACCATAAAATACTAGCTGTAACATTTTTAACCGTTAATTTTGGAATTTGAAAGTTTTTATAGTAAGGAATGTTTGGTAGTGGTAAATACTTCTGTGCTTCATATGCATTTCTGCAGCACCTAAAGACGAATGTATCCGTAGGATTGTTTCTTCAAATTCCAAATTTACAGAGGCTAGAGATAGGCTCTGAAAAAGGAAGGTGTATTTTAATTTCATGTTCAAACATATGCAAAGTTCCTTCTAGGAAAAATAAGAGGAAAAACGATAACTTGCTCTCTGAATTGTTTCTCGTTCTGTTTAGGCATTCGAAATTTTTAATCCTGGGGGCGTACCTTGAGCAACGTTCTCGCTTTTGCGACAACTAGATGACGTATGGATTTTGGTCATTCTTGACGAATGCATTATGTGTCCGGCTATTTGTGAAAACAACATTCTTTATGATTCACCACAAAAAAAATGTTCTTCTGCAATGCTTAACATAGTCAAAAATCAGATATAAATGTAATCGGATATAAATGTAACCATACAAAAATATAGAATGATCTTCTGGTGATACATAATCATTACTAATGCATCTTGTCTTTTCTAACAAAGAAGTCTGGAGATCTTTCTTTATCGCAGTCCAGATGAAGGGGTGGGGCAATCTGAAGAAAGTAGACGGACATTTTTATCAATTTTTTTTCCTTTTATCATAATATCATTAATTTTTATCAACTTATCACACGTTTCTTAAAACTAGAAATAAAATGACAGAGCTTACGGCTAATGAAATGATTCTCAAAATTTTATTTTGCTTCTCTGATAAATTTTCTGTTTTAAGTGCAAACGAAAATCAATTTACCAATATTTTGATTATGAATAATTAAAACTTATGCATTAAAATTTACTAATGTTTATTGAAAATACTGAGAAAATATGAAATATTATTTTATTTTTAATTACAGAGATTCCACCAACAACCAGCACAACAATGTCCACTCTTCCGTATAATGTCTTCATTCCACAGAGAGGTAATGTTTCTTAATTACGTAAAGTGCTTTTCATTAATTAGCTTGTCTTCATATTTTGTTTTATCTTGCATTCAACTAATGTTACATTTAAATTATTAGGTTATTATTATAACATTAAAGAAGCAAATAGTATTTTCTCATTATTTAGTTACGGCTGACAAAATATACTGAAACATCCAATGTTTGCATTCAAGTTAGTAAACACGGAATTTCTTTCCTTCGAGTTCATAATTCGTAACACTTCAACAAATTTTTGTTTAACAAATTCAATGATTTCAAAGCGAGCAATGGCAACACTGTACGGGGGGAACATTTTTATATCCAGCGCATGAGACTATGTATCGGAAATCTTAAAGATATGCTCATTTTAAAATTATTTTGCGATACTGCTGTTGATTTGAATTTTGTGGTCTAAGTGCGAAGAACATTTAATAAATAAAGGTAACACACAAAAGGTTAAAGAAAGTCCCTTTGGGCATAATGTAAAATGTGAAATCTTTCAGACATTCTTTTATTTTATTTATTTATTTTATTTTTTTATTTTTTATTTAATTATTTATTCTTTATTTATTTTATCAATATTTTACAGTAAATGGATATAAGGAGTTACCAGGTTGCAGAAGAGAGAGAAGGCAAAATAAATAAATAAAATAATTAAATAAACTTAAGAAATTTATTTTATCTGAATCTGTTAATGCACTTTTCCTTACCAAAGATATTGATTTCATTATCGTAAATTATACACCTATCTGTTTTAATCAGTAACTGAGCTGCCTTTTCTCCATTCAGTGAAGTAAAAGTAATTTTGTTCAAGTAAAGGCTGACTTTTGAAAAACAGTTTCGAAAAATCAAGTCTTTGATCTATCGCGAAAGAATATTAACTTCAACTCATGTTAAAATATAAATATGAACTCAAATATCCAATGTATACGCCGAAAGAGTCAATTTTATTAAAATAATTTATACTAATGGTGAAAGACTTATTGCTGTTTCATTCGGAATAAAAGATTTAATAATATACTTTTTAAAAAACCTTTGGTTTAATTGACAGGTTGGAAGGATTTTGAATAGATTTCTGCGGTTTAAGAGAGGAAATCTACTCTTCTGTTGCGTTTTTATGCGGTTTGAGTAAATCAGAGATTTGTGTCTCCTGTAAAAATGATTTTTAATATCATTGATGGACTGAAGCCTTTTGACAAGCTGGGGAATGTTATTCGTACGTTAAATAATTGTTTGAATTTGTTTAGTTTGTTATTGTTTAAGTTAATTTTATTGCTTTCTTCGCTTAGTAAATCCAAATAAATGGGAATGATAGCAGGAATTTTTTAATACATCTTTAGGTAAGCCGAAAAATGTTATTTCTTTTTTTTTTAAATATTATTTTTGCAATTGTTTTCACTTATTTTAACCTCAACGATTCCAAACATCTGAGTTCAGAATATGCTATAATATAAAATTCGAAATAAAAATGGTGTATTAATTGCATTAGTTCAGTAATATGGCCAATGCACAACATACGAGAATGTATATTATTTAAATTGGTACTTGTTATTGTAAGCGAATTTTTTATTTATGCATGTTGTTTTAAATTTTAAAGAACGTTACCTTAACATTTACCTTCTATATATATCATAATATTTTTTCTCAGAAATAAAAACTTTCAACCTGACTATTTATGTTTTCTGTTCTAGTTGTAACAGAAAGTCATACAGTATCAGATGTCACTACACCCGAAAAAAAGGAATATGGTGCACCAACAACGAATTCTCTGCGAGATGAATCACATATCGTTTCCTCTGGTAAGATCATTTATATAATTAGCGTATTCATTAAGGAAATTTAAGAATCAGTGCTATGATTTCGTAAATTTATATATATAATATTATTACGATAAGAGACCGATACACAATTCAATACTCGATACATAGCTTACTCCTTAAGTAATGTAATGATAATGGGCGAGTAATTCAGATGTAATAGTTTACTGTTTTATTTTTTACATTATTATTAAAGTGGAATTTAAAATTGGTAAAATTATTGAATTTGTGACTCACTTGAAGTTTTGATAATCTTAGAATTTATTAATTCTAAGATTCAAGACAATAGATCACCTTAGAAAATTTTCTGATGTATTATGTTGATGAATATCAATCTTTTCCAAAAAAAAAGACATTTATGCTAATTTTATTTCTTCCTCCTAAGATTTAACATATTTTGTTACATATTTTTCACCGATTTGTTAACATATTTTTCACCGAACCAATGCCACCGGTATGTCATCATCCTGTCCATACTTTTCATATTCAAACTGAGTTCATAGAAAATTAATAACTCTTTATGGGAAAAATTTAACAGTATACAATTTATTTTAAGAAACAGAATATTTCTTTAACATTAGTTCTAATATATGAAGTAATAATGTCGTTAGACATCAAGATTTGTTTCGAAGGATAGCTTACATGACTTTGTAAAAAAATCAGTCTTATTCTGGAAAAAAAAGAAGAAAATAAATTAATTTATTATTCTTATGCTTTGAGTACCATTTGTAACAAATATCGAGAAAGCAAATGAATTTGAAATATTGAAGAAGATAGGGACTGAAATTTTACGCAGTGAATGCATATGCAAATTAACATGCGTCACCAAAACATTTCTTCGTCATTTTCTTCTTTCTTTTAAATACAAGATTTTGATAATGAAACACATGGCAAGAACCCTAAAAAACATCTTTTGAAGCCGTTTTCAAAATTATTCATTCAAATAAGCATATGAAAGTAACCTTAAAATATCGATATTTAAGGGTACTCTCAAGATCTTACAGACCAATGGGGTATAAGTATGCGATCAAAATTCAAACTGTATTACAAACAAAATATATATCTCAAAATTCATGTAAAATAGTTATTATAATAAACCACAAACAATATATTCTTATAAATTTGTTTGGGAAATAAATGTAATACCAAAGTGTTTTTGATTAAATCTGAATGTGAAATGTTACATAAAATCACCGTTTTATATTAACCATATTCATTTATCGATTTTTAACTTCAATTAATTGAGTTAAAATTCGAGTTGCCAAAATTTCCCTGAGTTTTTGTTCTTTATATCCGACATTCTTTGTAAACAGACTGAATCAAAGGAGAGTCAATGGTTTTCCAGAAATTTAAAATCCGAATATTTAATTTATCAGAGGAAGAGCGGTAAGGCAAAAAAGGAATAGTTATGTCAACCCATTGGTTTGTCAGTCCAAAAACTGGGATACTCGTACTATCCATTTAATATGTCTGTTCTTTTTATGTGGCAACAATTAAAAGCATTTATACTCGTATAATGCTGATATACTTATACTCACTTCATATTTCTATTTTTCTTATTTAACAATAGAATTTAAAGTATGGATATTAGCATAGTCCATCCGATATAGCTACCCTCCTTATTTTACAATTGAACTAAAATATAAATACTCACATTACCTATTTGATATGTCTATTCTCTTTATGTAACTACAAAATTAATTATGGATACTCATGTTGCTCATCTGATATGTATTTTCGTTTTTACGTAACAGTATAATATTATTTAGCAAATCATGGATACCTTCTATACGCCTTAATAGTTTTCTTTGCTTAATTTGCCATAAATTAATAGAATGTACCATCTTCTTTTATTTTCCCCCTACTGGCATATCAAAAATTAGAACATTATTCAGCAACAGTCCTTCTCTATGTACATTTTAATATTCCTCGCTAATTTGTTACGAATTACCACAATAAGTAGTGTACCACCTTCTGTCAACTACACCACCACTCCCCTATACTACCATTTCAAGAAGTAAAACTTTACTTTTTGAATATCACCATTATTTTCAAAGCCCTCTGCCCCAAGTAAATCAACACCCTTTTTTTATCAGTAAATAATTCATTCTGGTATTTATTTTCAAACGATATGTTTTGGCTAACTTCATGAGAGAAAATTTATGCTGTTTCGTCAAAGGAGGATTAAGCTCTATTTTTATGATATTTCTTTCGAATTTCAGCTTTGGGTATTATAAAGACTTCAATAGTTTAGTAGTAACATATGTTAAGGTTAATTTTCATCTCTTGGAGTGACCATCCACTCTAACGGCAGCTATTTTTTGGGCGATTTGAAAAAAAAATATTGAACACCCTTGTGCTTGTTATTTTATATAATTTGAAGACATATTAAATCTAATATACTGCACTTTTCAACCAATTTCTCGAATTCGAAATAGTTCAACTCTTATTCTACAAACTTTGATGTCAAGAAATATTGACGCATTCTACAGAAAAGAAATGCTATTCCTCTTCATACTCAAAACCAGCAGGAACAAATCATGAATTAAACGAAGAGATTTAAATATTTATTCTGGAATTACACTTTTAGGCACCTGCAAACGAATTTACTTGAATAAATTTTGAGAACCAATCAAGCAATGTTTTCGAACAAAATCAGCGCTGTATGAAAAGTGTTAACTGTTTCATTTTTCTCTAATATTTTAAAAAGACTTGAATAGGATTAAAAAATTTACGTACTTGCCATTCTTATTGCCTTTGTATTATTTCATCTTGTGTACTCATTTTTTAAACTGCAGGTCGATTTATTCGCCTTTAAACGTTTATGAAAAACCTGTTTATGATTTGCGTAGATTCTTTTCCTTCATTATACTTCACGTTTCCCTTGAGAAATCAGAAAATCAAGAAATACATAAAATGCCATCGAGCTAAGCAGAATGTTGAAATTTTATTTTTGGCAATACCATGGCTGTTAAGATAATTGTGTGATTTGTTTCGGAATAAATCATTGGCTTATGCACACAACGAATGTTTTATCAAAAATGTTGAATGGGATGCATGCATTTAATTTTATCAATGTGTTTATTCTCTTTGCACTTAATTTTCCCTTAGATGGTATTAAAAGTGATTATATTGGAAAAAGGGTGTTAAAGTATTTTCATTAACTAGAAAATCTGAATCCAATTCTTTCTAATGTTTAGTTCTTTAGTGAGCTCGATTATGTTTCTCCAATTATTCGGGAAATGAAAAATGTCTCATTTATAAATCCATTGATGACTTAATCAGCATATATGATGCTGGATTATCAAGTACCTCTGAAATCGTTTGTTCTGTAATTGTTAAAAATAAATGATGAAAATGATGATTTTATGGAATATTATTGCCAAGGGGGGTTAGAGTAAATATGATTTACTTAAAAAAATTATTTTCAATTTTGTATTTAAAATAGGTAAATTAAGTAGATTCATTTGTTATAAAGGATTATGGTAGTTTGCAATCTCACGACTCATATTCAACTGGTTTGAAAAGTTCAACATAATATACATTTGATATTCATTTTAAACTTATGATATAGTAGTTTTCTACAAGTTTTCAGCTGTTCTGTTTTTAATCTGAAGCTTAGTATGCTATATTCTAAGATCTTGGCCTGTGGTGGGGAAAATCTATGTTAACTCTGAACAGAAGGCATGATGGCATTTAATGGGTTTTCGACATATAAATAATATTTGCGCTGTTACTATAAGGACGAGTTTTGGAAAATGATCATGATCTTTTAAATAATTATTCCATTTTTGCGTCGTTATTTGCCAAAGTTACTATTTCATGTAATTCGAAACTATTTGATTTGAGAAATCAGTTATTAATAGCTTCTAATACCAATGTATCAAGTCTTCAAGGCGCATAATGTTCTTAAAGTACTATGATGCGTTAGTCATATCTCAAGATCTGGTGTCGAAAGACTCGAATGCTAATAGGTTTTCAAAATTATCACAGACTTAGGAATTGCATGTATGGAACCCATTTATAGTAGTGCCCACCAGCGGCCGAGCGGTAAAATCGCTGAACACTGGTAGTTCGGTCCGAGGTTCGAATCCCGCGAACGGGCTGGCTGCATGGACATTTTCGTGGTTTTCCCCATGTGTTACGTGTATACGAGCCAGTTTCCCTTAGAAAGTTCTCCACGAAGGCATCCCTCCTCTTAGACAGATAGCCCTCGAGGCTTTGCCATAATCACACACACACATTTATAGTAAATTATAAAATTCTTTAAATATTGAGATGTTAAGTCTCGTTTCATCGTACGACATTACTGACACTCATAAAATCTCATTCGTTTCATTTATTATGCCATTATTTACAAGATCTTTAAACGCAGGTTGGAGATCTGAAATTTTTCAAGATTCATTTTCCTGTAGATGCTGAAACGTGAACTCAAGTTTATGCACATATATTGATATTTTCAAGTCTTTTTATTTTTTTTAAGGGGACCGTACAACGTTTTTTTAAGAAATGAGTTTTGTCCTCTATAATGTGCACCATTCATAGTCTGACGTGATTCTTAAAAGTTGCAATGCTTTTATATTAGTGGTTTTCCGATTTCTTATCCTAGTTGTCTCGAGTAACTTTTGGTTAAATGAGTGACTGAAAAACTTCTGCGGCAGCCAGCCAAAAAGCAAAAGAAAAAAATTAAAGGGCCAATAAATTTTATTCTAAAATTTCCAAAAGAATATACAAATATTAAATTGATGAATGAAATTGAAACTGTATTTTTAAAAGTTTCTTAAATCCAAGTTCGATGTGGGATGTTACTAATTCTGAGAAGTATGCTAAATGCTCATCTGCCAGCCTGTTTCTCAAAGAATTCTTCCAAAGGTTCATGGTAGGAAACATTTGTTCACGTGTATAATAGATGAAGCAAACATATAATGATTTTAAAATTTGCTAAACTTTCTTTCAAGAACCATTTATAAAGTTCTAATTTTGGAACATTAAGAAATAACTGCCTGAAATGATTCTTAGATTGTAACTCATTTATTTCAAGTTTCCAATCCAGCCTTAGTGCTTCCCAATTAACGCTGAACGGCATAGCGAGAATATTCACTTCTGATTGAATGGCACTGAGATGTTGAAATCTGAGTTCAGACTCGAAATGCAGTTTTCTCACGCTATCTTCATAACTGTTAAGCTTGTCATCATTAACTGTGAGTACTGAATTTAACATTGGGAAATGAGACAAGTCGCTCTTAGCTAGCTGCTCAACAAACGGATCAAGTTTTAGTTTGAAACCTTTAAGATGCGCCCAGATATCTGTGATAAATACACGTTTTCCTTGCATCTTGATATTTAAGCTGTTCATATGACAAAGAATATATGTGAAAATTATGTTATGTAAATGTAATGTTTTTTTTAATTAAAAAGGACCAGACAGAACCTTTAGGAGAGTTCGAGTTGGCCCGCAAGCCGTAGTTTTTAATCCCTTACAGTTCATTTCTTGAACATAAAAGTAATATTTCAACTACTAAATTTATGCATTAAGACATTATATCTTAATCTCATGAAAAATTAATTCTTTGTTCTTTACCCGTGGGTATTATACATGCAAGCTCTGTCAATGTACTGCATTTAAAAGCTGGGTTTTAAAATGTAAAACTGAATCTTGCGGGATTACGTATCTAAATCTGTTGCGCAGTATCAAAGCTTTAAGACTGGCATCTAAAATTATGTTGTAAATTATTTTATCAATAAATCTGTAAATTAAACTAATTTATGACATCAGTTCTGCTTAACATTTTGTTGGTCATCAACGAGCTCAACTTGCAGCTCGCATGCGAACTACCATTCTTCTGTAATATCCTACGAAAATCTAAAAAATATGTAGGAAATGCATTAACCTTTTAACTGTCATGCCCGAGATTATCTCGGGCACGGCACTGGTGTTCGAAAATGTCACGCCCGAGTATTTCTCGGGTAATTTTTTTTTTTTTTTGAGTGCATCGTATTGTCATACCCGAATATGTATCGGGAGATGTTTATTTCGGCTACATTTGGTTTTTCCAATAAAAAAATTTGACAATTTGTGTGCCCAAATCATCAAAATAACTTGACAGTTAAAGGGTTAAAATGTTAAATATTTCTATAATTTTAAAATGTGTAAAACAGACTTTGTTATTCTTTTTACGAGGTGAATGAAACTCCTTTTACATGATAATAATATTTTTTAACTTTATCTTTAGCATGTAAGGTAGGTAGTAATCTTCGTAACATTTGCATTTATAAAGTGCGTTCTAGCATCAGAATAATGAATAAAATGTATATATTGGTGCCTTTATTTGTAATCAGATAATAACTGTATCTGAAACCAAATTGATAATAATTTATAACCTTAGATATCTATTTCATTGTGCGTTATCTTGTAAGATAGTCGAATGAAATATAAAATATGAGACAAAACTATTTAAATGAATATATAGCATTTTTTTACAAAATTAAATAAAATGTAAGTTTATGATCAAAGTAATAGCCAGATATTCGTTTATGATTTTAAAAATTTTAAAGAATGTTGCTCCTTTTTATTTTAAATCTACACATTATATAAGAATATCCTAATCTATATAAGAATATCCTATCTGTGTCTTAATCCTAATCTATGCTAATATATTTCAATTCCAGGATGCTATTTTACAGATCTACAATAAAAAGTCAATCTTTTAAAATCACTTTTAAAATGTATTTTGAGTGAAAATATTAACAAGGATTTTGACAGGAAATATGCATAATTAACCATCTTATAAATAAAACACTGACGTTTCCTTTAGAATCATTAAATCCCATAACATATTAATAATATTTAATTAAAATATTAATATTTGGTTTTGAAACTGGCCATTATGACTATATTAATATGGTAATCATGAGTGCAGTTTATAGAGATCATTACTCCATTTACTTATTTAAGTACTTATTTTTATTTAGTTCATTGACTTCAAATGCTGTAATTAACTAAGTTTAAGTATAGATTACAGTAGCTTGCAAAGAGTAAGGTTTAATGATTTCCTTGAAACATAAAATTTTAGTTGATCTTAAATCATTAGTTCTGCTCTTAGTCTAAAATATATATATGCGTTATATAAACTAATAATGCATATAATGTAGTTCAAACTGCAATGATTATTCTTAAAACTGAAGCATGATTATTACGACATTTGTTTTTTTTTAACTGAATTAAATTGCATTTTCAAAATTGAATAGCTCATTTTCAATTGTTTCTTGGCTCCGATTGGATCACTTTGAAAAATTTGTAGAAGAAATGGGTGTAAATAGTAATAATAGTAACTGTAAAAATGTAATGGGTACATTTCATTTAAAATTTTATGACTGAAAGCATGAAATGATTTTACTATCTTTGAATTATATTTAAGAACAAATAATTTTTAATCATTTAATAATTTGTATATATTTCAGAGAAACAGCTTAGACCAGGGAAAATAGAAAGCAGATTAGAAGATGAGAAACAGCAGAAGAGAACCACTGATCACAGAACATTACATCCTAAAAAGCCAAGTAAGATATTTGTTTTCCTGATTTTATAACACAGAATTATAAAAAATGCATTGTTCACTCTTGCAGTTAAAATGTGTATCGATTCTTTGATACTTTTTTATTGTTTTGCGTTGGAATAGTTAGGAAGATTTAAAGGATTTTACAGGTCTTTATATCATTTCCATAAAACGGCTACAATATTTAAGTTTAAAAATAATTTTATAATTCTTTACTTCGTTGACCAGCGTCAATGAGAAGCATTAAATGAGCAATAGCTGTAGAATACTTCTGAAAGTGTTTCTTTTTTCGAATAGCATCGCATCACATACACTATTAATCACATTTCTTACCTATATGTAAAGATCTATGTTATTATGTTTTTTTAAAATTTTTCTTAACTTTTCAGTTCAAAATGAATTTTTTCATTTAATTTATATCAGTTTCTGTTATTTCCACTTAATATAATGTCAACAGAGTATACATCTCATTATATAGGGTATAGTTTGAAACAATAAAGTAGTGACTGTAATTACTTAACTTGAAAATTGTCAATTCATGCACGAATAAATATATAGAAAGTGTGCTCATGTTATTTTCTCTTATGATAGTTGAAATTAGTTAAATATTATTTTATTTGTCCCTTGTGTTACACATCATTTCTGCCACTAATAATTTTATCATATATATACATATAAATTTTACAACATTGACTAATAATTTTATTATATATATACATATAAATTCTACAACATTGACTAATAATTTTATTATATATATGCATATAAATTCTACAACATTGATAAAAAATCTAATAAATTAAAACACCTTAGGTTAATTTTCATGCATTTGACACTCATGTTGATTTGGGTTAAAATTTGCATTATAATTTTTTCAGATTACATAAAACAAAGTGTTGCTTTAATAAATCAAAATAATTATAAATTATATCCTACAACAGCTCTTGAGTTTGAACATGTGAACCGTCCTTCTTATAAGTTTCTAGATTAAAATATGTGTACTCAGTAAATTTTGAATAAAATACATAAACTGCAGGAAATAATAAAAGTCGAAATACATTTTAATTTCTCATACTGAATATTGTAGTAAAGTTTTCGTTTCTTAATTCTAAAACATTTCCTCTCCTCCACAGAATCATACAAACTAAATTATTGGTATAAATAAAAAAAAAGATTATAATTTTGCAAAGAAAGTATTTTTCTCTATTTTTCTTTTTAAGGATATTTTTAATCAAGAAGGAGAGGTAAGGACAGACTCATGCTAATAATCTCGATAAAGTATTCGTTTAAACATATATTCTTCTTATCGTGTATTGTTCGTTTATTAATCCAGCTTACTGCCCGTTTTTAAAATAAAATGGTGAAGATATATTAAATAGACTATTTTTTACAAAATTTATATACAACCTTGCAATTTTAAGCAGCGAAAAAAAAGTTTTCTCTTTCTCTTAATAAAATGTGTGAGGGCTTAGGAACGCTATTTAGTCCTTTGCACTCGAGGACTTTTTCGCTCGGGTGAACCAACAACTTGAGACGCGATTTTCCGCTAACTTGGTGAATTTCTTAGAGCTAATCTAAAATGATTTCACACACATTTTAAAGAAATCTCTTTTTAATATCTGAATATACTTGCGGTTCTGCGGCTATTTCGCCTGATGCAAACAGTATTTCTTGGGATTCTGTGCACGTTATTAATTCTGAATTTTCTGTCTTTTTTTCCTCCTCTCTGAAATTTCTCTTCTCTGCGGAATCAGTATCGTTTCCCATTCATTATCTATTACCCTGATCTTTTGAGTTCATAGCCCGTACTTCGTCGCTACCTTCGTCACTGCTTTCCTTCTCTCTGTCATCAAGTAGTCTATGTATAGAAGTAATTTTGTTCTTCATCAACGAAAAATTGAACCCAACTTCACTTAACAACTTTTCAGTTGTTGATAATTCTACAACTACTGCATGCAGATTACGTAAAGGCATAAAAACATTTACTAGAACATAAGACTAATTTAATTCTATCAATTTTAAAGAAACAAATGCACAATTTACCAAGTTATGAGACTAAAAAAATTGAGCTCACCGAGGCGGGCAACAGAGTGCATATGCATATATATATATATATATATATATATATATATATACATAATCTTAAAGCATCTAAATAAGTAAATTGGAATAAAAGCACGGCAATTCCTCTATAAACATAATAATTAACCGTATATAAGAGGTTTAACACAATATCGAAATTAATTCAGTGAAATTCACACAATATCGAACACAATATCGAAATTAATTCAGAGAATTCATAGTAGAGCAATCACGAAAAATAAAATTGCGAAGGGAAAAATATACAGAATTATACGAATAAAAATTAATCTCCTTTTCTTGAAACTCCAATTCAGAACTCATCAGGGGAAAATGAATTAAAGCTTCATAAAAGTCGATTAATATGTTTCGTTCTTCTGGTCCATTTAGATGCTTTAAGATGCTCCTCGTCCATCTAGATGCTTTAAATGTATTTTACTTCAATCCTGCAGCTATAGCCTATAGCGCACGACGGGTTTTAAAAAAATATTCTAATTTTTATATCAAATTTTTAACATATTTATATATAGAGAAAGATATGGATAGATAGATGTATACACCTTTGGTTGCAACCAAAAAGGGAGGTGCACAATTACATGTTATAGCCGACCCATATACAAAATATAACTTCAATAATATTCCGTGTTTAAGTGTTCCAATATCGTTTCTGCATTTCTTAGCTGTGAATGTGAAAGTGAATCGACACTGATAAAGAAAAATTTGGAAGGAAACGAAAAATATCAGTGTAAATTATAATGCAATTGCTTAAAAATAATTCCAGTTATTTTTGTGTACTCTATCGTATAAACATGTATCAGACGGCAATATATATAAGTCAGTGTAACATTAAAAGGATGAGAAAATTTTATTCTGATTTGGATTCATTTCATCTTAATGTATTACTACTAGGTTTACGGTCATTTTTGTAACCTACATTTTCGGACACTCATCAAATTGACGGTTATCGAAAATCACATATTTTCTTTAAAAATAATTAATTTAATTTAAAAAAAATTACATTCCTAACCATAGAACTACTAATAACCACCAATTTGATTACTTTATATTTGTTTTTATCTGTGTAAAAAACCTTACGGTATTTTTAGTGTTATCAGACTTATCAGAGCTTGTGACAGCAGTCTTTGCTGATACTAACTATTCTCTCTAGCCATTCAGTATCTTTCCTAGAATCAGTATCATGATAATTAAAGAAGAATATTTCGTCAGAATAAAATAAAACTAATGCTTTCCTATAATTCTCTAAAGATACTGCTTGTAATAATCTAATACTTTCTTCTCGATCGTCTCTACTCGCACTAATTGAAACTTTTCCTAAAATGTCTTGATACATTGACTGGAGTTCAAAGACTGCAGATCGTTCCTTAGTCTTGATCCTAACGCATTATGTTTATGCTTTAGGTACGTAAGACTAAAAGATAATGACATGTGACATATCCCTTGCTCTGGCGAACTGTGGTGCCTTGATACTGAGTTCGAAATCATCGAAAGATATTTATTTCCGTTGACTTATGATTTTAATTTAGTATCTACATTCTAATTGCTTTTGCAACTATCACCATAAAAATTATTTAAAAAAACGGTTTATTAAAATAAACTATAAAATTGGCTTACCCGTCATTTTGACGGGTATTATCATGCATAATAGATAGGTATACATCATATGTAATTTTGAAATTAAAGGGCAGAAAAGGAAATAAATTTGAGCATGTATTCGACACATTACATCGATGTGTGTCCGAATAAATTAGAAGCTATAAAAATAGTGTTTCGTAATTTTGCTCATGAGACCGAAATCCCTCAAAATGACGGATAATGGAACTCTAAATTTATTTAAATCGTAATTCTCGATTTTTAATTTTGGAATACATTCTGTGGAAACTGATCAATGATTTTTCAGTTATAATTAATTGTGAGAAAATATTTACATAATGAGTATATATATTTGCATGATTTTCATAGAATTAAGTAAACATAATTTTTAATGTACATTTGGTAAATCCTAAGCATCTACGTCAATGTTTCATTAAGAATTACACTTTTTATATTTGGGCTTTTATCACATGGAATGAATTTTTAATATCGAATGTAAACTCAGACGACATAGATTCGAAATGTTTTATTCATACTCGTGTTTTTGCCGGAAACGGATATCCATTAATACGGAATAGTTTTCACTATTTCATAGAAACTACAGTTTCAATAAATATTTATGCTAAAAATAAGACGCAAATTTATCTCCTTATTCCCCACATCTTAAGAATGCTGTTATGCAGAGACATTAGGTTATTTCAGAAAGGGGAGTGATGAAAAATGAGCAATCGAAGTCACGGACCTTTGGAATACGCGCCTAGTGTGCAGACCACCACACCACGAAAGCACGTTAAGAAGGCGGGAGAAATGCCTTATAGTACTTCCTAAGGAAATATATTTTAAATTTGTATTTATTCGGAATTATTTCTATTAAATTTGAACTTATTTAAACTATCTACAGATGAATCTCATTAGTTTTTTGTGCATTTTATTTTATACTGTATTTGGTTTCAAATAAATTCTAATGATATTGCAAGCCTACATTTAAAAACTAATTTATTTGTCTTTTTTTATTGTCTCCTCTAGCTTCCGAAGCTGGTCAGGAAAGAGTTTCGTCCTGTATTACAGTAGCTGCAGTCTTAATGGCACACTTCCTATTGAAGAAGACATTTTAAATAATTTCCTCAAGCTCAAAGTGACTCATCAATAGAACAGTTGTCCAACTGAATACAAAACTTTCATGAGCATAATATTGTGTATTAAGACACCTGGATAAAACCAATGTATACAAATTATGGTGAAATGTGGTTAATCCATGAAATATCTCGTAAAAATGTCCTGCAAAGTTCTCAGTATCTTTATATAAATAAGAAGAATTTTTAATAATAACTATGTCAAAATTTTATTTCGACATATGTTTATATTAGGAATAATATTAGATTTATATTACTTCAGGAAGATATCACAATACCCGACCCGCAGCCCATGATTTTTTTTTCTTCATGATTAAGGAATTCATATTCATTCTTTGAATTTTATATTCTCTTTAATTCTTTTGTGACTGAAATATTTATTAATGCTCAAAAGGCATAAAATTTTATAATTTTGCTCACGTTAAATCTTATCATCTATTCAACACAGTTTGAGATAATCAAACTTCTGTCATTTTATGAATCATCTGAACTGTTTAAATGATATTATTAATTATATGTACATATGTGCCAAGAAAATTTATGTAATCTTGTCTTTGTGAATAATATGATATTATTACGTATCTATCAGATCACTGTACAGTAAGCTGTAAAATAAATGTTGAAATCTATTTTTGGTAGTTGTGTATGATTTATGTTTCCTGAATTTTACCAAATATGTCTAAATTGTACTTTTCCCTGAAAAATATAATCTCCTTCCTGGGAAGTTTTAACGTTTCATTGAATACATATTGTTAGGTGTTGAGACTGATGGTTACGTAGTAGAATTTTTGCGACATTTTTTAGAACCCTGGATTTAACTGAATAACATAAGTTTTTATTCAGTCTTTCCTTAGATTTAATAGGATAGATGAACATATGTCCATCCGCTAGAGTGAAAAAAGGATGAGATATGCAGATGCTAACTTGATTGTGCCATGTACGTTGGGTCCACTTTGCATTTTATAAGCGCTTGAGTATTGCTACTTGACCAGCGCTGGTGTATCATATTTCCTAACACATATAAGCTAGTACATCTCAAATTACTAATTCTTATATCTAAAAGACGGTAAGTTGTATTAGGGTTATTGAATTACATAATTTAAAGTAATTCTGCTAATTAGTTTAAAAATTCTTGAATATAATTAATAATTGTTTCAAGTACACACTTATTTTAATAAAGCACGTTCCTCTATTCCAGTACATCACTCTCTCAAATTTATTATGATAGTATCATATACTAATACCGCAAATGCAAAGAACTTCCTTTGCTTACATAAATGATGCATCTGCATTTTCAGATGTGAAATTTTATTACTTTTTGTAAACAAGTTGATAATTATATAGTAATGTAAGTTTAAATAATATGAATATCCATTATGAAAGTTTCGGTAGTTATAAAAAAAGCATACTTTCTAACGATAATGAATGAGGAACTTTAATTTTTATTACTGACTCTTTTCTTTGATATAAGTAGCACAATAGTATTTTTCCCTCTAGTAATGTATAAAGCATTCTTGAAAACAAATTAATATTTAGCTTTCGTATTTATCCCGAGTACTTTTATTCTTTAGGAAAAGTATCAAAATAATATATATTCAATATAAATTTCAGCAATTCTAAAATATATCTTAACTATCATCATTTGCATTGTATAGGTTACTACTGTATTATACAGGCTTTTGTACAGTAAGTAAATTATACGAAGTAGAAAGTAAAATTCATTTTTACGTTATAGCCAATACCTTTTCGCAAGTAATGCTGTAAAAATATGTAATCATCTGTCAAGATTCAATAATAAATTAAAATCAAAACTGCATATGTTTGGAAGGTAAACTATAAATCATTTTAAACACAAGAAAATCACGTTAATAACGTGTAAGCAGAATTATGTAAAATACATTGTAACTAAAACCGGACCTCTATGACGATAATAGTAAAACTAATTATGCCACAAACATTTATGAAAAATGGAATTTTAAGTCATAAAATTTTAAAATCAATGAGATTATTACAAAAATATATATATAAATTGTCTTTCTGAATTTTTGGATCACGAAATTGCTTTATCAGAGCAATTTTTATTAGCTTGGAATGTCTGGCTATTATATACGAGGCATAACGTCTTCAATTAATCTTCCACACAGGCAGATAAACAACCAGTTTTCAGAATCTTGCATTTAATGTGCCGTGAGAATTTTAATTTATTATCATTTCTTCAACTGCGGATTCTTAACAAACAGCAGTTTCAGCGCTTGAAAAGTACCTTTTAATAATAACGTTATTTAATTATATTCTAGTACCATATCTATTTTATGTAAGCTGCAATACTGCAATACATGCATTAAAAATCTTATGATTTATGGCATACTTAACTGTCAGCATTTTGCTAGCATTAATCTTTTCATTTCAATTAATAAAATCTGCTTCTGACGCCGTATATGACGAAGAATAATCGTTTATGTTTTAACGATTTCTATCACCAGTGCCTTTATAAAAATTTAGCAGATACTTTTAATAAGGAAAAGTTCTGATGGTGAAATCAGTTGCTTTGTGCTTTAAATTTCAGGTACACAGTCTTGATTGTTGAGTGTCGAGTCTGCTGACTGGTATTTATTGGAATCATTGGAGTTAATTTCGTTACCTCGATAACATTTGTTCTTAATTTATACAATATTGACAGTTTTTAGTTTTTATTTTGTTTTAATTGTCAAGGTGTTTAGACATGAGTTTTTGAATGGTTGTGTTCTAGCAAATTAAAAAATACTGCTATTTTAGAGATTTTTTTTTCAAACATCATGCACAAGCAGTCCGTCGAAATACGTATATAGCAATGTAAGATACGTATATAGCACTCTGAATTTCTGGAAGGATACTTTCATAACTTTATTTAATTCTATTCTAGTACCATATCCATTTTATGTTAAGTTGCAATACATGCATTAAAAATCTTATGATTTATGCTATACTTAAATATTAGCATTTTGCTAGCATTTATCTTTCTATTGCAATTTATAAAATATAAGCAACATTTGTAAGCTACCATTCATTGTTTGGCTTAAATTTGTTTCATTTTTTAAATTGGGCCCACCAGCGGCCGAGCGGTAAAGTCGCTGAACACTGGTAGTTCGGTCCGAGGTTCGAATCCCGTGAACGGGCTGACTGCATGGGCGTTTTCGTGGTTTCCCCATGTGTAACGTGTATACGAGCCAGTTTCCCTTAGAAAGTCCTTCACGAAGGCATCCCTCCTTTAGGCAGATAGCCCTCGAGGCTTTGCCATAATCACACACATTTTTTTTTAAATTGGAATTTTCATATGATGATCAGATTTACACTATTTGAAAACTGGAACATGACTTTAATTTATTTTTAAAAAACTTCGGTATTAAACTTTACGTGGAGTTACACTGTAATCTGAAATTTCTAGATCTCAATTATTATTATTATATTTTAAAATGAGATCCTCTAGTTAAATAATATTATATTAGTATTTTTTTTTTCAAAATTTCAGTGAACATAATATATATTTATCAATGCGATAAGACTTTTGTTATAAGTAAATCTTTTAGCCTTCTAGAAAATGCATTAACTTAAAAAATCAAACTAAAATTTGGTTTTAAATTATATCTACCATGTGAAACACGCTTAGGTAAAAAACAATTTCCATTTGCATATATTCTGCTTCCCTAAATGAAGGGTATTTGCAAAAGTAAAACTTATCTGCTAATTATCAAAAAACGATAAAAACAGATTCTACAAAAACAATTTTACTATTAATTACCAAGTGTATCTGTTCATTGATCTCAAAATATTGAATTATAATCGACTTTACGGATATTTAAAGATGATGGAAAAATTATTTTAATTATGAGCAATTAATGCAATCTCTTTTTAATATGATATAGGGTTGCCTGTGACACAAATGCAGGCCTCACATCTTGATTTCCTAGAATTTTGCAGACTATCGAACATATCTTATGTAATTACACTCCAACGTTCTGAGCTTACATTTTTCAGGTCCAGAAAAACATTTCAATTATGCAGTTCGGAGGCATGTGCTCTTTCCCCCAAATGATCAGTTGGCTTCACGTTTGATGAGTAAGTTGGCCAAATAGCCTGAGAACAGACATGTTTGATACGAGGGACAATTGTTATTTAATAGCAAAATATCTGAGCCACAGGACTCCTAAACAGTTTTACAGAAGGTTCCAAGATCTCGTTCACATCTACGTGACCGTTTACAGAGCCTCGATCAAAAACATACAAGTTACTTGCTCTTCGCTCCCTTCAAATCACCCTTTGGAACCACTCTCTCGGAAGATAAAGTTAGTGAAATACAAAACATTAGGTTTTTCGTATAATATCCAATTTGTGGAACTTTCGTGTAGCAATAGAATGGTTTATTCAAGTTCGCTAATAGTTGGTCTAAAATTAATTTCTTCAAATCGTTTCTCGATTTCATTTCAGTGGACAAAGACGAAAAACGATCTTCGGATTCCATTTTTACACTTAAACGCCCTCGAACAAGAGCTGATATATTGTTTAGAAAACGTTTTAAATTTTTAATATGACTCCTTTAGGGATATTCAAATCTTGGTTTAGTCTCCTCTCCAATCTACCAACTGGTCACCACTTTTCATTTAATCGATGTCTTTGAGTCACTAGCCCTTCACTTAAATTATGACAGTGCATAATAAATAACGCACTCTCATAAACCATATTAAGTTTAAGGAACACTATACATCCGAATTCTAATATGCATCTACTGCGCAACGCGATATCAGTCGTCTAACTGAGCATTTTATGCGCTAGCCTATACGCAAAAGTCCAGTTTTGCATTAAGGTTTATATTAACCTAAATAATTACACCATCGGACATTCGCTGAAACCTTTAAACATGGAGCATATTATTTTTTCTGATTAGTCGTTATATATTTCTGACCAACAGTGCATATATATAGTACATATTTCACATCTGTCATCATGAGTTGAGAAACAGTCATGTTATTGTTGCTGTAATTTCAATTATTTTATAACTGTGAGAGCTATTCAAAAATTTGAGCTTCTAGTTATATTTATTATCATTGTGGTGTTGCGCGGCCCCAACCTACACGCAACAATAATAGTCACTGCTATGAACTGGAAAGTACACAAAACTCTTAAGAAGGGTTTAACTCCCTTTTTATTCTACTTTAGATGTTACAGATGCGTGCACTTGACGCTCACAAACTACGCCGACCCGGCGGTAAAATAAAAATAAGAAACTAAAAATGAATAATAACAAGTTACTACCTACGAGGCTCTCTAAACGTAACTAACCTAACCGCGTTCTAAGATACAGCTGGTATTTCAGCAAAACTTTCTGAATATTAAGTTGAAAGATTCAACTATCTGCCGAGGAAAGCACACAGGCCGAAACGCGCGGTTCTTCAATTTCTACCTAGCTACCTTCACGCTTGTGAAGCAAGAAAGCACAGTTTCGAACTCGTTTCCCTTTTATTTAACTCAAATTATTTCCGCTGACAATTTCAATACTTTGCGCGTTCTACTAAAATTTACATACTCTGGCATTGGCAATTCCGGGGGAAAGTAAGGCTTGACAGGAAAGATAGTTTAAACTTAAAATAAATGT